AATAAGACTGATTTGAATGGGGCAGAAGGAATAAGACTGATTTGAATGGGGCAGAAGGAATAAGACTGATTTGAATGGGGCAGAAGGAATAAGACTGATTTGAATGGGGCAGAAGGAATAAGACTGATTTGAATGGGGCAGAAGGAATAAGACTGATTTGAATGGGGCAGAAGGAATAAGACTGATTTGAATGGGGCAGAAGGAATAAGACTGATTTGAATGGGGCAGAAGGAATAAGACTGATTTGAATGGGGCAGAAGGAATAAGACTGATTTGAATGGGGCAGAAGGAATAAGACTGATTTGAATGGGGCAGAAGGAATAAGACTGATTTGAATGGGGCAGAAGGAATAAGACTGATTTGAATGGGGCAGAAGGAATAAGACTGATTTGAATGGGGCAGAAGGAATAAGACTGATTTGAATGGGGCAGAAGGAATAAGACTGATTTGAATGGGGCAGAAGGAATAAGACTGATTTGAATGGGGCAGAAGGAATAAGACTGATTTGAATGGGGCAGAAGGAATAAGACTGATTTGAATGGGGCAGAAGGAATAAGACTGATTTGAATGGGGCAGAAGGAATAAGACTGATTTGAATGGGGCAGAAGGAATAAGACTGAGTTAATGCTAGTAAATATTTTGATTGTAGAAAGGAGATACCTTAAATCCGCTTTAGGTATTGCAGAGTTAATGACAATGAAACAATGATAATTAGTATTATAGAACTACCTTTGATTGTCATTACAGTGGAACGCATCTTGAAGATCATTCTGCAATAATATAATTGATGCAATATTAAATTTCACATTTAATTTCCTGATCTCTTGTAAACCAGTTTTTGCTGAAGTTAGACCACAATGCACCATAATGTTGTATTTCAGATCTAATCTCAATCATGATAAATCACCACAGGAAGACCAAGGAGAGAAAAAATAATATTTCCTTAGGAGTAGTCTGAGGAGGCTGGAACAGAATCATGACAACTTATATGATATAATACCATGTCAGTACATGCACAAAGATGGTGTCACCATCTAGGAGGTTGTCGATTCAATCAAATTCTGTTCTTGTCACGATATGACGTCATGCTGTGCGAAGAAGCTCGTGACATGTCACGCTTATCGCACAACAGATATTTCAATTCTTTTAGTACCACGATATAGAAAAAAAGTAGGCCATCTTGTAGACTCTTTTCTTTTCCAACTAAAGGTAAAGAAGAGCGTATTTTTCAAATATATGTTGTTTAGGTTTTATTGTTTACAGTAATATTCCTTTGTTGTTGTTATTTATTTTTATTTTTTTGCATTACACTGTACACAAATTGATACAAGGTAGCCAGCTRACTGACTATGAATTAACTAACAGCAACTGATACACGTAATACTGAAAGCCTGCTCTTATTTGATAGAGCTTTTTCCGCAACGTTTCACGTAAACGCTAGAGTGCSTACGTGCTACATTTCTAAATGGCAATATCTGCGAAAAATGTTTCGATCCATAAATGGCAGGTCAAAATATGCCTTTGTTTTYAATACTTATTCCTATTAAGTGAGTTAAGTACATCGTCACTGAATAATTGTTTRCACTGATGGAGTCTAATGATTAACGATGACATGTCGATTTAACGGCTGACTGCAAGTAAATGGAGCGTTACGTATTTATAATTGCACGTATCCGTGTCTGCGTAACTATACAATAAAGCACCACACTAGTTTTATATCAAAAAAACTAACTCGCTTACAAAACTATCTTTCAAAAAGAAGTTAAACACTTGTGATACTACTGAGATCGATGTAAAAACTCAGTGACCTCGATGGTTCCGGTTGCCTTGTACCTGCGGCGCATAGTGAATTTCTATCTTGGCAGCATCCAGAACTGTCAAGTCGATCCGAAAAGACCAAGAGACGATGAGAAAACAGCCGATAAAATGACCAAAACTGGACCAAAAGAAAACGGGACATTAAAGCAACACAACGTCCAAGTGAGTCTCTTTCCTGTTGCCACAGGTTATCCAGATTAGGCTGTCTCTTTCGTTTTGTTCTTTTTTTTAGTTTCATGAACATGACTGAACATGAACTGTCAGAACATGACTTGAAAGGACCCCTGGGCGACTCTGAGAAAATGGGAAAATGGGAAAATGGAAACCAGCCGTAAGCCTTGCGGGAAAAAATAGACGATCCTATGCGTTAACTTCTTGTAATAGAAATAATATAATATAGTAGTTGTGCAAATGCGTCCTCTAGCTTCCAAATACCTTTTTTGCGCAGTGAGTACCTAAATGCAACTCTCTGATATATATATACACTTGAAAGTTTTCTTAGGGTTATATATCAGTTCTGTGGTACTAGTTTATTTTTCCTCTCTNATGAGGCGAAAAAGTGTTGAAAATGCTCTAAAAAGTCGTAGATTGGCAGAAAAAAGTCTCTCGCAATTCAAGATGGCCTGCAAAATCTAAGACTTCGACACGAAATATTTCGACAACGAACCCGGTAACCCCAATTTCTATTTATCTTAAAAGAAGGCTACTTGGAAAAAATATAACATATGTGAAAGCGGAAAAAACGACAACAGAGGTTTCTGAAATATAGCAGTTTTAGCTGGAAATGACACCTATTCTTGACGTCGCGAATGTAGCGGCCTTACACGAACAAAAGTCCTAAAGAAATCAAAAATCACATCATGTAATGTTTCAAAGTCTCGTAAACAATATTAACAATTATCGACCTCAGTTTTTGTGGAAAAATTTGGATCAATTGATATGTGTTTTATATTTTTCGGGAAGTTTTTTGGTAGACGGCATCGACCCCTTTTCGCGCGCTTTTCTTTGACAATTTTGGTGATTTTGTGCAAGAATTATCTCTAAAATGAAGCCGGTGACCTCCACTTTTTTATCGCTTTTTTGCAAGTTTATRTCATCGSGTRWTTCCCCAAAAAATTTCATCGAATTGACATCACGGAATCCAATGCCAATGAACGTCCTTAAATGACCAAAACTGGACCAAAAGAAAACGCGTCATTAAACACAACTTCCAAGTGAGTCTTTTTCCTGTTGCCAGCACAGGTTATCCAGAGTAGGCTGTGTCTTTCTTTTTCCTCTTTTTCTTTTTTTCAATCTCATGAACATGACCGAACATGAACTGTCAGAACATGACTTGAAAGGCCTTGGGCGACCCAGATGAGAAAATGGAAGCCAGCCGTAAGCCCTGCGGGACACCATTGTGCGTTAACCTCGTACTATAGAAATATAGTAGCTGGTTGTGCAAATGCTTCTATTTTTTTATCATCCAAATACGTTTTGCGCAGTGAGTACGTAAACACAACTCTCTGACTCTATATATACACGTGAACGAATGTACAGGTTGCGTAAACTATGTGCTAATTTCACTTGACGTAAGATGCATTTTGACACATAAAGTTATGTAATATTTTTAATATATTACGTAAACGTACGTAATACGCATTTAAGCTCTTGCGTCATGTCCAAGCTTGTCTGTGTAAATTGTAAGCTAGCTTGTTACGTTTACTAAACGTACCAACAGTATTCACGCAATATATAGTGTTGATATTACGCAAACCAAACGTACCTAATATTCANCTCAAGCAAACTTCTCTATCCCATCATGAAAGTACTTGGTCAATGGGGAATCGGCAAGGAACTAGACAACAAGCACTTTGCCAAGAACCAAGGTATGGAACTGTTACGACGAGACAAAGGACCAAGTCTTGGCCATTTGGTTCACTATTATGGAAGCGAAGAGCATTTCTTTGCATTGGGAATGTTACCTGAGTGTGTCAGACATGGTAAACCTGCTTTTAAACTTCAGCACGGAATGTCACACTACAACTATATGAGTGATATGACAACCCACCCATACAGCGAATCCAAGATGGTAATGGGTTCCTCACAGCATTTAATCGGTAGCAATGAACGTAGAAGGGAGTTTGCACAAAACTACATCCATGCCATGGCTTGCATTTCAAACCTGACCCTTCTACAAGACCATGAAGGAATCAATAATGTTTACGAAGTCTATCCATGGTCAAGTTGTGCAAAGCTTGTTGATGTTGGTGGCAGCACAGGTCACTTTATGGCATCCGTCATGAAACGACCAGGTTGTGAACACATCCAAGGATTCGTCATGGATTTACCAGCTGTCATTGAAGAGGCTGAGAAACGTGTGAATGACCTTGGGCTCAGTAGCAATCGCATTGCCTTTATAAAACAAGATATAATGAAGCCTTTCTGCAGCCTTGATCTCCACGCCGATACTGTAACGATGAAAAGTTTCATATGTGGTTTTGCAGATGAAGATAAGGTGTCAGCTTTGAAGAATTGCAAGAGCCTTTTTAGAGGTAGTGGCAGATTGCTGATAATAGAGGTATGCTCTCCTAATCCTGGAGATTTAAATCACAATATTGGCTTGAATGGCCGACAGAATGGATTCTGGAATATTCACATGTTAAGTGCTTGTGGTACTTCCTTTCCATCATTAAAAGAGATAACTGATACCATCCAAGAGGCTGGGAATAAAGCAGGTTACAAATTGAACCAAATTTACAACACTTTTCCAGGAGGGTATACAATATTTGAACTATTTACTCAATAGAAAAACTGTTGTTGAGTTTTATTTTCCTCAAACGAAGAGAAATAGTCAATGGGTACTAATGTGTGAAACATAATCTGAAAAGCCACAAAAAAGGGCAATATATAGTGTACTATAAAAGCACGTATTGTTTACAGTTTAGGAAAACCACTCCATGACACTATTACACCTTGACAATGAATGGCGGCTAGGATAGTTATGCAGTTTTTTAAATGAAGATAAGGTGTCAGTTCTGAAGAATTGCAAGAGCCTTTTTAGAGGTAGTGGCAGATTGCTGATAATAGAGGTATGCTCTCCTAATCCTGGAGATTTAAAACCTTATAATGGTCAACAGATTCCATTCTCCAGCATCCAGCTTTTAAGTATCCATTCCACATCATTTCCATCATTGAAAGAAACAACTGAAATCATTCAAGAGACTGTCAACAAAGCAGGTTATAAACTGATTCAAATTTACAACACTTTTCCTGGTGGACATGTAATATTTGAACTATTTACTCAATAAAACATAACAGTACTCAAGAATTCCACACACTGCTGTATACAGATACATATTAGAAAGTTTCAATTGACTGCACATGACAACTCATTTGAATACACCTTAAACATTATATCAAAATTAAGACCAAAACATCATTCGATACAGGTATGATATACTTTAAACAATCAATTCAATATTCTTCATATTAATTTGTATTCACGCCATTATAATTCATATACCATTAGTACAATTAAGACTGTCTATTCGCCTTAAAGCACGTGGGATATTGAATTGTTGATACCAGAGGAAGTACTCCTGCCTTGTATTCTATTTTATTTCCAGTTACTTCTACCTTGTTTCTAGTTACTTCTATCTTATTTCCAGTTACTCTTACCTTGATTCHAGTTACTTCTAGCTTTTTCTAACTACTACTAGCTAATGATAATCAAAGTATTAGAAATAATCAAYTTAATATAGAATTAATTTAGTGAAAAAAGGTCTTTGATAAATGACTCCCTCACGAAACGATCCCGAACCGTCCAGTCTATATGCGCCGTCTTATACCATTACACCACCGAGTTTCTGATGCGATTCCTTGGAAGATAACATACTTATAAAACTTATGAATTAGGCTCATTAGGAATGCCATGAAAAGCAAACAAAGACAATTTGAAAAGCTTTTGTTTCAGAAAGCCGTTCGGGAATTGGAAAACAACAAACGGTGCTTCTTTATTCAAAATTATGAAAACTGAAAACCTTGGTGGAGATGCAATAAATCAATATATTTCTGTTATATGTATTTCCTTCGCTNAAACTTTTACGTGTGATTACATTGGATCATTAAGGAAATTATATTGGATTGTTTTGCACTCGATCGTTAATCATWTCTATAGTGCTAGCGTTTTATGTCGTAAGTTCTAGCAAGTTCCAAAAACTCATTCYAGGTTAATCTTGAGTGCMGCCAYTAAGTTTTCAGCACGAAGCAACATTTCTAGATTTTTCAKTGAATTATTATTAATCATTTTCTATTTCTTCAATAATTTGTAATRCCTTGCTCATAAACCATATCGTCATAAATCCAAGTCAGACGTAAAGTGACTACAGTMTYATCTACTCGCSAAACACTTCAAAGGATAACTTCARCTCGACAAAGAATATGGAAACTCCGCTTCTCATTGCCGTCGCGTCGGGYCTTGGTGTGGTATTATTGTGTATTATTATCCTAGTGGGATACCTGTGCTATCGAAGRTCAAAAAGACGAGATCACAGCAGCTCTGTTGACGAAGAAAGCAACCCAGATGTACAAGTAGATAATCCTCAAACTCCAAATGTCATCATGACAAGAAAAGATCGCACTGAGGATCTATTCACAGGAAAAAGAACACCTTTTGGAGTTCATAACTCAATCAATARCATTCCTGACGCCATTGATAATGAAGARGAGGAGGAGAAAGGCTATGGTCAACAGAATGGAGTGAAAACTAAACTGAGCAATAGGCTGAGCGTTCGCTCMGTTCATTCTGTGTATTCGACAACTTCAAATGCACCATCGTTTAGTGAGCATTCCCATGGAGAAACCAATAGCTCTCTCTACTACTGACAATACTGACATATTTTGGACCCTTTCGTTCTCAAGTACAAGAAATCCAATTTCATCTCATGTTGGATATGGAGTATATAAATGAAATTGTTAAAAAGATGAGGACGGAATATTATTGTTTGTCTTGGATTCTTCACAAGCAAAAACGAACATTTCTAAAGACATCAAACGAAAACAAAAATAAGAAAGAGAGAAAAAATGGGCCAGACTTAAGTGAAGAGCATTTACTACTAACTTACTGCGAGGCTGTTAAAAATACATTCAAAATTTTTGAAATTGAAATGCAAATACAAAGCTAAGTACAAAAAGGTTTCGGATTTTATTATGACAAGCTCAGTTTCNAAAACGTTCTTTATGTGTAAATGGCATGAAAACGTGCAAAATTCATGCCAACAACTGAAAATTTGCTAAAAACGGTCCTAAATTTTACTTTCCAACCCGTTACAAGCAAAAACGAACATTTCTAAAGACATCAAACGAAAACAAAAATAAGAAAGAGAGAAAAAATGGGCCAGACTTAAGTGAAGAGCATTTACTACTAACTTACTGCGAGGCTGTTAAAAATACATTCAAAATTTTTGAAATTGAAATGCAAATACAAAGCTAAGTACAAAAAGGTTTCGGATTTTATTATRACAAGCTCAGTTTCTACTAGTTCCTGTGAACTAGATAATGCATATTTCGCTGAAATAGTTTTCTTATGAAAACTAGTCAAATTAATATCCAAATGAATCATTCAGACTTTCTTGTTGGGTTTCACGGTTCATCGAAGCCGCCATATTGGTTGAAATAGCGAACAGGATATCGGCTTCGCGGTGAAGGAAAAACCGATTCATTCTCGATTGACGTTATGGCGGCCATTTTGGAAGAGAGCATACCTMGAAATATGTTGTTTAACGTGTATTTTGGCGTCAATTCACATTCAAGTATAAACACGGGTTTTGAAAAAAAAAAACATAAAAAAAAACATATTATTAACAAACAAACGAAGCTTTCTTGTTGCATTAATTTGACTATCGATGCCGCATAATGCATTTCGACTACAGTATCATATAGTAACAGGCTAGTAACGAGGTATTGGGATCAGGAATCAGCGTCAGTTTTTGGGCTATTTTGGGATTAGGAGGATTTAGGTCAGGATCCGGATCAAATGGATTTAACCTGGGATCAAAGGTTTTTCAACTGGGATCGGTATCAATGATTTTTTTCAACGATTCTGTAAGGGGATTAGGGATCAAAATGTACGGAGTTTTGGGATCGGGATCACGTTTTTAGCCTTTTGATCCGGATCAACAGCAAAATAATATAACTCGTTACTAGAAGCCTGTAATAATGTCAGGTTTACATGAAGTTTTGGTATTTGTTTTCACTTTCATCTTTCTTTTCTATTTACAATTTTTCCTGTGAAGTGATAGATAATCAAGCTTTGTATATCTATCACATAAAAAGGAAAAGAAAATGGCCGACTTATCGTGTCAAATTAGTCCATTCTGACCTATTAATATACCTTGGATCT